TTATAATAAATAAAATTAAAAAAAAAATCCTAGGTAAAACATAGCGGTTGATATGTATCTGCTCTGGAAGCTGAGATAAGCTGAGGATAAAAAACCATTATCTTCAGTTATGATGTTACCTGTACGGCATGTGTGCCTTCTCGTAATCCTGTCATTTTATCTCCCATGCATATAATGACTTTACTGGTGTAGATTCCCAACACTTCCTTGAAAGGTAAGTAATACTACTTCTCTCACAAACAGAGGAGGCAAGAACAGGGTTCAGAGAGGGATTATATAGGAAGGTTGTGGCACAGATCATCTAGAGCCCAGGTTTCCAGCTTGTGTTTCTGACACAAAATCAACCTTCTCAGTGTTGTTTTAATTTAGATTACGAACATTTTTCAATGTAGAGAAGAGCAAACTGTGTTTATCCTTTGTGTATATTCCTCAGTTCCTTCTCTATAACATCACTATTGTATCTCAAAATATCACTTTTGAAAAGCAAGGAAATGTAATGTGATTGAAATGTGTTTTCAATACATAGTCATGTCTTCCTGATCTCTTATCCAAAATTTTATAGCATTTATAATGGAGATAGCACTGAAACCTTCTTCCTTCCTTTGTTTCTTCCTCCCTCCCTCCCTTCTTTCCTTGTCCTTCCCACATCACAGATAGTATTAATACCTGTGAATATTTTAATACAGACAAGAATGACTAGTACATTCACAAATTCACGTCAATGTCCTCTACCTTCAGTTGCATTATTTACAGACCTTTCATAGTTAATTGCTCATTTTTCGCAATAGCGACTGGAATTTCCTCTCGAGGGTCACAGAGGCGTCTGTTCTTGAATCTGTCATTTCCTCTTTGTGAAGACCACCAAAAAAAAATGCAGAAGGGTCAGAAACTTTCAGATTAAACGATGCATAGAAACAAAACTGAAAAGCAGAACTAAAATCCAAATCTGCAAACTCAGTTTCAGTATTCAAATGCACTTACTTTGCCAGGAGGGGAATCCTTCTCAGCAAATCCTTTTGAAAAACTGCCCAGTATTTCCTTTTTATTTTGTCAACATTTAGTTACATTACAAAACTCACTTGACTATATAATGAGAAAAGCATTTATTTCAAGTATTACACTGCAGATAAAATGCATGTCAACATTAATTCTACCTATTATTGCTTTGTAAATAGAAGGTTATTTACCCTTTGAGAAAAAAAATTTCAGAACTAAAAGGTAACCACATGCACTAAATAAACAAATGAAATCAAACCTTAATTGGGCTTGGAGTTTCAAAACAGGGAAAATATCAAAGTTAAGCTAAATAAATTAAACATAAAAAATAAATCTCATTTACTGAGTAATATTTTGGCAGATTCTCTGTGGAGTCACAAATTCAGATAAATTTAAGATGCAGATGGGAAATAAGGAGGAGGGAAGCAGGCAGATGAACTGTAGTGGGAAAGCAATCGTAAGTTAATTCAGGATGTGTTCTACCTAATACTGATGAAGATCTAAATAAGAGCTCTTTAAACTGTACATGTAGATCCAAGTCCTGGTGTGATTCACATTCTAACTTCAGATCTCATACGCCCGACTGAAATATATAAAGCTTGCTTCAGACAGCAAAGGAAGCTCAGTTTGGTTCCCTGGCTTCTTTACAAATTTTGGTGAGAGTGACAGAGCTAGGCAGCAACACTTTACAAAGTCTAACGTTAACAGGCAGACTTCCTTGCTTGCCCATTCTTCAGTGACTGAAAAATAAAACATAGTGCAACAATAGGGTAAAAACACCAACTGTGGAACTGACAGCCAAGAAAATACAGCAAGATGATTTGCCATTGTCTGCTTACATCTTACAAAAGTATTGTAGAATGGTTTGGGTTGGACGAGACTGTTAAACATCATCTAGTCACGGTCATCAGTTCATGCTGGAATCAGTTCAATCACGAACTGATTGCACTGTTTTCTGGTCTGCTATCTTAATAACAAACACTATACTCTGCAGCATTACAAAATAAACCTGTAGCTTCGCTTTCCATTTCCATAACATCAGCAGAAGATCAACTCTTCCGGTGTCCTGATGGGTATCTCTGGAAGAATGGGTTGAAGACAGGAGCTCCTATTTACTTCAGAGGCTTTGAAAGGAAATGAGATTACTTTGCTGCTTCAAGAACTGGGCCACTCATGAGCAAAACTTTATGCACTAATCCCCAGTGTAAAGCTGCTTCACTGGCTGTCAGAAGTGTACGCAAAACTAAACATTGCAAGACGAGGCTCTGGTCTGAGCTATTGCTTCCCTGGGAAGGGGGAGGAAGGAAGAGAAATAGAAAAGTGATACTGAATTGGGCTCTGATGTCTGTACCTGGCACAGGTGGGGTGCAGCCTCCTATCCTATCCTGTCCTGTCCTGTCCCATCACGTCCCATCCCATCCCGTCCCATCCCATCCCATCCCATCCCATCCCATCCCATCCCATCCCATCCCATCCCATCCCATCCCATCATGGCAACACCTGCTACCTCAAACAACTAGACTGTTTTCTTGTGACAGCAGGTATATGCAGTCCAGCCTTTCCAGGACCTAGAATAAGCAAAATTTGAAGCAGAACACTGCTATTTTGGCAGTCAGAGGAATCTGCAGCCTTAGGAGACATTGCCGTTTTCCAAGACTAGAATAAGCCTGGCCTCACCCATTTAACCAAATCAGTAATTTGGTGAAGTACATGTGGCTTATTTTAAACATAAAGCCTGAGAAACAGGCTGTTTGGTCAGGCCCGAAAGCCAACATAAACAGAGCTCGGTGATTTTGCAGAGGCATGCCCACAGAAGGAGACCTATTGCTGGGTGTGCTCTGTGGCCAGGATCAAAGATGTCTTGCAAGATAAGAGGCTGGTGTGCTTTCCCAGTTAGTGTCAAATGTTGTGAGCAACACACAGATCACCAAGAGCTTTATATATGCGCTGAGAAGCAACTAGAAGGCAAGGTGGTGTACAGAGCACTCCTGTATGACATGTTCAGCCTCCTTTGCAAAGCCGTACAAATCGCATTTCTGTACACAACCTGTTCTGGTGATATCGGCAAGAGGATTTACTTCGCTTACGTGTTGACTAGTTCAGTCCTGCACTGGGAGCTGCAGGCAGGGTTTGTCAGTAGGCAGAGCATCTCTCTGCATCTGGCGAGAAGAAGCATTGCGCCATGATTCTGTTCCACATCCTCTGCGACGCTTTGCAGATTTTGGACGTGTTTTGGAGTCACTGCACAAGAGATAAGCAGAGCAGCTGTGGAGGGCTCTGAATTTCACGGCAATATTTGTCCTGAATCTCACGGTAATTTTTGTGCTAGACGCTGATTGCTGCAAGATGGTCAAACATTTTTGCTGACCAGAGCAGCATCAATTCTTGCACAATAACTGTTGCTGGGTACAGTAATGGAGAAAGATGATGAAAATTTGGTAACCGCGTTGCACTTCCTACTTGAAAATGCTGTGCTTGACTCCTTTATACAGAGGCTACTTTTGTTCCAGTTTTTACAGCTCCACTCCTTCCCGCTGTAAAGCGACTTTCAGACAAAAGCAGTGTGAATGGCGGGTCGGCTGTGCTCTTGGACACTGTGTCCTCTCCTCAGCAAGGGTGGCAACCGGCCCTGCGCCCATCCTCACCCCGAGTTTCAAGAGGCACCCAAGAGAGCACACTACAATGCATCTTTGCTACCTTTCGTAAGCCCATCTTCCATTTAAAATTCAGCACCGCGACCATTTACCGGCGGCTGAGCACGCAGCCTGCCCTTCTTGTTTTGGGGAGCCTTTGGCCAGCAACGACCCAGCGGGGAACCCAGCGCCCCGGCTGTGCGGCTG